ACACGTAGTTTTAAAATGGACTATTTAACCCTTCGAACCCGAAGCTCATCTAAATAATAATTAAAACGTCAGTTCCTATCTCAGAGGGGGGAAAAACACTTGTCCATTACAAATATCAGTTGATTAATGCTGTTTAAAGAAATAATCACAGTTTGTGACTGAACGCACTACTTCACAGACTTACCAGAATGGATACAAGTACATTATTCATCATTCGTAATGAGCATTCGGTAGATAAATAAGAAAGTTGCTGTAATTATGTGATAACTGTTGGTTTAACAGGGACCGTGTCTTCTCCTTATAAAAATTTGTGATTAGTCGTTGTCATCAATAAATTACGTCATCAACAATGTCAACTATAAACAAACTCGGCATTGTTGTGGAACACAACAATGCCGAGTACAACACAACAATGTCGAGTACAACACAACAATGCCAAGTACAACACAACAATGCCGAGTTTAGTGTCTTACTCAAGATTTTAAAACGCAACCAACCCCCCCGAAAGGGGGTTGGTTGCTTTTTAAACACTTGATCAAGCTCCCCCGAAAAAGGGGGTTGGTCAAGTGTTTTAACCCTCCATTCGGGGGGTTTAGTTTAGTTTCTTACACAAGATTTTAAAACGCAACCAACCCCTCCCCCCCGAAGGGGTTCGTTGCTTTTTAAAAACTTGACCAACCCCTCCGAGGAGCTCCGAAAGGAGCGTTCTGCCCTAGTAAGCTAAAACATTCGACTGCACTCCGCGAACGAAATGGTTACGTGGATGTTTAGGAACCGGCATCTGTTTCTTTCGCGATAAAATATAAACCTACGGACATTCGATCTCTTTCCAGATTTTAAAATGAATGGGCAGTTTCCTGCGATTGCACTAGTCTGATTTATATTTTTGCTCCGACGGATAAATTACGGTACCCATATTCCTCACAATCTTTAAAATTTCAAATGCCTCATTTGATTAACAAGGCTTCAAAAAAAATTCCACACAATCCACTTGTTGAAGAAAGTATATCATAGTTACTTCTGGCAACATGTTTGGTAATAAAGCAGATTGTATTTGACTGGGATGTGATAAAGTTGTTTTCTCAAACACGAAATTAACACGCGTATTGTGTAATAATCCAGCGGTGCAGTGTTCTCTAAGAAGCTGATACTCAGCTGGTCAACAAATTCCCTGCTTTAGTGGAACAGAATGTTCATAATCTTTTTCATAAAAGTCCGCCACTGGATTCTGTCCAGAGCAAGTTGAATCCGATACAAATCTCTCGAATCTACAGACCAATTAATATTATCCTTCAGTACATTTATGTTTCGAAACCTTTAAAACAATTAATAATATTAAATGAAAAATGTTAATTGTTAACACAAGGACTTCCAGATTTTCAATATTTCCAGGATATAGTTAGATACATTTTCAGCAACCCCCAGTTAAAATATTGTAATTCTTATTCTTCGAAATTAAAAGACATTAGCACGTACGTTTAGTAACACAGAATTACTTCTTTTGAGCGGCTTACACGTCCATAGTTTAAATCTAAACTTCCAGATTCAGGAACTGAGAGACGGTTTATGGCAAATTTTGACTACGTACACCGAAGTCAAGTGTCAATCTTAACCAAACGAAAAACGACAGTGAAGATATGAACATGTACTATTTTAGTAACAAAATTAAAATACTATAGTTAATTTATTAACAATTTCTAAAACATAGTTTAACATGTTCATTCATCCAGTTCAATGCAACCCATTCATATCGTCACAGCATGGTTGCAACACGCGACTCACCATTCGTTCTCTTACATTCTTTAAGTTTTGAAAATACAGGAAGATGAGTTAACAGTTTTTTTAAACACCGGAACTTCCAAGTTAAATGTACATCTTAAATGGTTGGATTCGTACCAATATGTGAAAATATAGGTCGATTGGAACTGAAAAGTGTTATACATTGTTAATGGATTAAAAATTACCGACAACACATTAATAAGTAGCGTTCTTTACGTAATTCAGAACAGTCACAATTTAAATTTTAAATTTTAGAGGCCAAAGAACACACACCAGTGGCAATGAAATCAAGATCTAAAATGCAGCACAAAACGAACACATGCTTGTTTCATATAAAATAAATGCGTGCTTACAGAAATGAGATGATGTCTTGTCAGATGAGAGATGTCTTATTCATAAAGGATGATGCTTCTGTAGCGAAGTGATATTGTTTATAATTACACCGTTCGAGGTGGTAGGAACAATAATGACGTAATGTCTGTAAAAACAGATCGCCTCTTCCGTATGGGTAATGGCGTTGGTGACGGTGATGTTTTCTGGGCACAGTCACAAGAATGCAAAATATGCAGTGTAGTGATGTAGTCGTCTGTAACGCGCTCATCCCAACCGACTTCAACTGTTACTTTCTTGTATCGATTGCATGGCGTCGCCATACACACAAGGCATTATTGATCCCAGCGCCATAAACTTTTCGAATAAAAACCGATTACGCAACTGAAAATTAATCTTTATCATATTACCAACACTGTGTATAAAGCGCATTGTCAGTAGTTCACAATATTATAGCGTGCTGCTACTTCATGACGGACATGAAATGTTTTGTTCGGGGTACCGCAAAATGAACGAACGCGGAACTTTCTAATCCACAAAGACTCAACAGTCGGACAGGTTTCTGATTGCACACACGCCGATACGGGATGAACACTGTTGTTGAGAGATCAGATATTGTCGGATGCCCTATTCCACGGGCAGTAGAGGAGGAAGTCCCTCGACGAACTGTGTGGGGTTGAGAACTGCTATGCTCTCGGCCGCTTGCCCGCTCACAACTGCTGGCTGGCGTACTGCCGCTCAACGCGAGGCTATTCGAATCGTCCATATAAATATAAACACAACCCACCTCCATCGAAACCTCAACCTCTTACCTCACTTGTAACATTAATAACTGTACCTACTTGGAATTCCTCAGACGTAAAAAAGAAAAACATTAACACTCTATAACAGAAACCTTCCACAGGACAATGAGTTGTCAGTGTCCAGGTCTGGCTACTTTATTTATGGTTCTTCTGGTACTCGACTTTCTATCGACGATAAATATCCGTACCTCCGTCGGGAATCGAATGCAAGTCGCCCAGCCTGCCAACAGAGTGAACTTCGACAGCTTATAAAACGCCAAATAAAACTCAAATTGAAATGTTTATATAGTGTATTTGCATATGTGAGTTATGAAAATCAGACATTCTGAATATGTGTGCCGACCTCCTTACAAACCCCGTTCTATGTATGGATAAACAGACATCGTTGAATGGAATGTACTGATCTATTAATATGTAGATGAGGCATATCAGACTCGCGGCTCGCGGGTTATTATATTTTACGAGGCTTCGACTCAGTCCTCGAATTAAACTTACACGTGATATGTGATTCAAACGCTCCAATTTTAAAAAAAAATAAGTTTAAAATACACGCTAAACAGATATATCGTACTTAAATTAAGTAAAGCAGAAATGTAGTCTCGAAACACTAAACGACTCAACTCACACTTCAGAATCGTCTTCTCTCTCAACTGGAAGAATCAATTAACAACAGAAGTAAATAAAGTACTCAGACGGCAAACTGTGGACCGCCGGTCGATTCCGGCCTGAGATACACGTGTTTTTTGCCAGCGAAGAAATTTTACGTTCATAGAAAACAGAAATAAAAATGTACGCTACTGGGGCCCTCGTCATAAGCGGTATGGACTCAGTCTCACCCCATATTAAGTAGGAATAGGCGAACAGTCGTAGCCTATTTAAGGTGTTTTATCGCAGAGTTACGTGGCATCGAAGGTGGAACAGCGAATCTACCCTTGGATCGTCTTCGTGCGAATCACGAAGGACTGTCGTCGATGAACAGAAAACAGAAGAGGAACAGTTCCTTTGGTCTTCACAGGCCGTGACATTTAAGCTCTTGTGAGGGGGGGCTCCTTCTTGCGTGGCGTGTTGGAAATTGCACGGACGGGTTGCCCTCGTCACGCGAGTGATAATACCGGATGAGAAGTTGGTTTATTTAGTCGTATTGATCTGCGGGAGGGCTTCTACTCCACCCTCTTTCAGACATCTTCAGTCTGAATGTAACAGAGTTCAGGTGGGGACGGGGTAAGTCATAAAAGAGTGGGCAAGACAGGAAGAAAATCGAGATGTAAAGAAAAACGACGAAGTTTGGTCTAGTTACAGTGCCCTGGCCCCGAATAGGCCGACACAAGAGCACATTAATTTTATTCAGGCACAGAAACGATGCGATCAATAGTTAATAAATCTCTTATTTTCTGTTCAACACTGACGTGGGTTGCCTGCTAACTCCGATACTGTCACTAGGAAGTAACAGTAGAGGGCGTCCCAAAATAGCCCTCGACGCGAAAACGACTCGACAAAATGACGAAAAAGTTCACATTTTCAGAATTGTTTATTCATTTTACTTTTTAAAGCAGTCCTTTTTCCTTGTTCTGTCGATGTTCTATGCTCGTCTGATTGTTCTGGATTTAATTTCAGAAAGGTTTTAATAAATATGTATATCTCTTCCGAATTTACGTGTGTATTTATTTATTTCTGTTGCCTGTTTTTCATAATTTAATTATTTATTTTGGCATAATAACATTTTTCTGTTTCTGTGTTACTTTCTGTCCATTAAAGCATTGTCGCTGCTCTCTGTGAAACAGAATCCCTAAATGTGCGAAAATAAGGAGTACCACGAATCCTCTGCAGCTCGGACAGAAAGAGTCCGTCAGCTTCGCATGCAGCATGTACGCCTTGGTCCTTTGAAACCCTGTAATGTACCACCACCACCACCACTTTTTTTTAATACAGCCTACCACACACACGCAACACAAACTGAGAGCGGGAAATACCCGTGATTCACTTTCTGCGTCAACTGTGGTTAATAGAAGGTAATTCAGTGTCGCTGACAGAAAACTTAATTTTCATGCACCCAGTCCTTTCCTTTCCTGCTCCGGGACGTTTTCAATTACTGATATTGGGGGAAAGGGGAGCAAGAGTTGGTAGTCTATTTAACCATGTATTTTTAGGTCATAGTGCAGGGCGTGTCCCAGATTGCACGCTACCTACACTGTGAAGCGCCCTAAGTGATTTCTTCGCCCTACCGAATAATGGAAGGAAGAGAATTACATAAAAATCACATTTCCGCTTTTTTTTTTAACTTTTGTTAGAAATATTTCGTATTCTACGCTTTTGCCCCTTCTGGAATAATACATTTAAATGAAGTTACAAAAATAGGTCGAGTGGTTGGAGGTCTTCTTGTAAATTATGATACAGAAGTAAAATTAGTTACGGGAAAACCCAGTGCAATGAATCTTAGAGCAACGGATCTAGCGGTGGACTCTTGTGAACCTTCGGGTTCCATAAAAATCGGACAATTTCTTCATCGCCAAAGAAGGAATCATCTGTACCATGCCGCAGAAATGGCTACAGTTTCCTGGTCAATGTTTTCTTCGAGGTCGTCGACGGTGCGAAGCCGGTACGCGTAGATCTTCCCTCTGTACACCCCACAGGAAGTAAAAGTGGATGGGTTAAATCTGGGGATTTATGGGCCAGAGGTCTCATAAGAAGACCCGCGCTTAAAAAAAATTGATTCCGGGCGCATCCGGTTTCAGCGCCGATAGAGGCGGGATTAAGTTTGACGAGGACTGAGGTACGTACCGTACCATTGGTTCATAAATGCTGGTTTTGTTGCTGAATGTCTGGGCCTCTACAGAAATTATGTACTATATTAGGCTGACGGCATGGTTTTAAGTTTCCATTTCACTTTAATCACTTACTCCATTTTGGGTTTTTAGTGGCCCACGCCCGTAATCGCGTAGTATCAACTACGTCTGAAATAAATGTCTTAGTTCTTTCATTTAAAAAAGGCCGAACTTCCACGGCCTGAGTATGAAGCAGCTTTGTGATCGATTGGACCGTGAGTTATTTATCAACGCTTTTTTCAGTTGCACGTCGTACAGTAGGATAACTAGGAATCGAGAATTAGAAAGAGCGTGGAACGAAGTTGTCCTCCATTATTCTGAGCTGCAATCTCGATAGTCAAGCCTGTGTGAAAGAAATAGGGGAAAACGTGAAAATCCTATCCAAGATTAGAATACGGGACCTCCGGAATACAAGGCAGAGTTCTAATCACCAAACGGCTAGGTAAGGTCCATTATGATTATGATGGCGAAGATAATGACAAAAGTGTTCTTAAAGAAAGGGGTTTAATTTAAGAGATACTTTAAACGGAATTACGAAAACCACAAAGATAAAAAAACTGGGCAGACAAAGTTCTCCCACCCGACATTCTGACCAAGAACCTCGGGGCACAAACATAAGTGGCGACCACTACAACATATTTTAAGTTTTATTCAGACACTCAGACGTCGATGTGGAAACAAATAAAGAAGGAACAGCAAATTAAATCTTGAATCAACTGGTCTGAACAGTTTTTCGCATCCAGCTTTAAAGTAGGAAGGTAATTAAATTTTCCACCAACAAGTAGATCAGCTCTCTTTCACACTGCGTACCGAAATAACTTCCTTATCATTTTCATGTCTCAGAACACCTAATTTTTGAAAAATGAAATAATAAAAATCGAAATTATTTGCATACCTGTTTCATAAGTGCCGATCGCAGCTAACTTCACTTCTGCTGGTGCTTATAACGGAATATTCGACATACAGAAGCCTGGTTTGTTTGTGTGGCAGCTCTCAAACACATCACTCAACGAATCAAATAAAATGACCCGAAGCGTAATCATTACATAACGTTTGTAGGCGGCAACAGCTGGTCACTTCCACCGAATACCGTCATACGAATAACCAAACTTCAGAACGATGTTCCAGTTCTGGAATAAATATCGTTCCATCACATCTCCCTTATACAAAAGTTAGTCCTGAAATGCGAGAGGCTAAATGCCAAGTAAAACTCATCGTAACATTTCACCAACAAAAGGTTAGCACAACAGCGCGTGACATTTTGATGTAATAGCACTTTACAGCATCCTCATAATGATTGTTCCCCACCTCTAAATTAGACCTATCACAATTGATTAGGCACTGAAATTTCCTAAGCGCATCTGAAAAGCATTCAGCACTCAAAATATGCAAAGTCTGCTAGTTTCCCACTGTATCTGAACAAAAAGAGAATTTAAAAAAAGAAGTGCGACCGTGACAGGACTCGAACCTGCAATCTTCGGATCCGAAGTCCGACGCCTTATCCATTAGGCCACACGGTCAATTACTCAAACCTTTCGGTTGTCGTATAATATACACTTAAGGCACGCAAATAGTACACTATTCCTACGCTAGATGCCAATGCAAACACAGATATCTGCGCCACTAGTATTACTTTCAGGAACTACTAGTACTGATGACAGTGATCTGTGAAGGAAAAGTACAAGCAATTCTAAAAAATCAAGAAACCAGTTCCGAATAAAAAAAATTGTTCGCCCACTTGTGATGTGCAGTTTTTCGCTGTTCATCCCCCGGACTTTATTAAGTCTATGAGTTTGTCCCTCACCTAAATTAAACCACGATCGCTTCCTTCCACATCCTTACCAATTCATTTTCCATTATTCATTCTATAATACGATCCTACACAGTCTTAGTCTTAGCCAGATATTTCCCACTATAATTTTCTCCCTCAATGTCAAGATTCTCGAAAGTTTGCACAGAAGCCTACAAATATGATGAGAAAGTAAAACATGATGCACTCATCGATCCAATTCACAGAACCTCAAAATTTGCAACTTTCTGTAGCATAGTACATAAACGTACACGAATACCTTACATCACACAGCATTCAAGAGCTCTGTGTCCGATAAGATGGACACCCCGAACATGAATTTGGAATTTTTATTTACGTCTTTATATATTCCTCAGATTTCTGTGGGACTAAATTTGTTACGAAGACCGCTTACAGGACTTTCTAAGTCGAAGGGAAACGACCATTTAGAAGACGAAGGAGAAGATGGTAGGATACTATTAACACGCGTCTTAAAATAGAGTGGTGCGAGGATACAAACTGGATTTATCTGGCTCAAGATTACTGACCAGTTGCGGGAGCTTATCAACAAAGCACTGAATCTTCAGGTTAGATAAAAGGTGGAAAACGTCGACCCAATGCGAAGAGTTAACAACTGAGTGATCGTCAACTCCTCAACAACTTGCCTCTGCAGAGTTGGTTGAAATTGTACTAAAATTTTGTTTTAAAGTAAGGACATAAATTTTAAAGGATAATGCTAGTTGTTCGATCAAAAAAACTAAACACCGTTAGTGTGCGACCAAACAACTGCGTATGAAGTTTGATAGGACCACAGAGCCGGTCTGAATGCGGGAGGATAGAAAAGCAATTATTGTCCATGCCTGGAATCAAACCTGGTTAACCAAAAATGTAATTTTCATTAAGCAATTCGTAGACTGCGTCACAATTCTGACGACAGGACGCTGGCTCCTCGATGCGCAGGCCATGGTACAATTTCGGATGACTTCAAGTAAGTTTCGTGATAAACAAAGTGGCATTCGAACACAATTTACTTCGTGTTCCACCGTTGCTCCATACTCATACATGATCACCCCACGAAACGTGCGGTAGCCCTGTCCAAACAGCACATCATCATACCCTCGGTCCCAAATTTGGAGCTTCATCAGCTGGTATCGGAGTAGACCAAATGGTATTTCCATTAAACAACTACGCCGTGTCTCAGTTCCTCCTGTCTTGAACGCAGGAATCCGTCCGCAACTGTGTTCATGAATACGACTGCTTCCCGATGGTGTCAAGGCGTCAGCTTTGTCTGGCGTGTGATCTAATCAGCAGGCGGACCGGTCTTATCGCGACATGCAATACAAAGAGACGCTCTCACATCACGAATCCAGCGACTCAAAAACTCCAGTACTTCGGCTCTCTGCTGTTCGTTACGTAATGTCCTAGCAGGCCTGCCTCTCAAGAAGTCGCAGTTTATTTCCATTATTTTCACAGAATGCAAATCACATTTTAACCACCTTCACTACGGGACAATACATCGCGAAATTGAGCCAGTTTCTCCAGAGCTGTTTTGCACTTGGTGGTGAGGAAAGTAATTTCCAAAGCCCTTTCCTGGAATCGATTCTCAACCTTTCACTCCGTAGCAAGTGTCTTCACTGACTTAAACATCTCGGTTCCTGATAGAAACACAGCTTTACAATGAACTGTTCCTTAGCCCGTTCATCGGCTTAACCGCCTTTTTGCTGGGAATTTCCAGCAAGATGGAATAATACTTCAGTGCTTCAGGATGGAGACATGTAGTGATCTATGAACACGATAATTAACCTCTGGGTTCACTGAAAGGCGGTAAAGTTCTTGACTAGCTGACTGCTCCATGGAGTCTTTTTTTTTTCCAGCAATGTTTCAGACATTCATCAATATACGTCGATTTGCAGGGTTTGTGGTTAGAGTTGTTCAGTTTCTTTTAATACGCCAACCACGTTCTTCTCTTGATGCCGTGCAATAATGAAATTTGTGCCAAATGATCTTCGAAACACCGATTTCAAACAGAACAGAAATCAAAGCCGAGAGACGAGAATTATAAACAACATTTTAGTGGAAAAACCTAATGAGACTACTTGGAGGCCTATGCGCAGATGAATAAATATGGATCTACAAGAAGGCATGAGAGTACGCACTTTCTTCATCCGGTTCTACAAAACTCGGGGAATTTCGTCAGTAGCCAAGCATCTCAAGAACGACTGCGCACAATGGAGTTAATCATATTAACCGAAGTTATGGTTCGATCTCAGGACGGTGACTTACTACGTACCAGTATCAGATCGGTAGATACGAGATCAGTGGGCGAAGTTTGTAGGCCCGAACTTGTATCGTCGTAATAAGATGTATTTTAAAGGCTTCTCGCCTTTGCTTTCTTTAATAATGTTCCGACAAGCGCTGCTGTAGAAAGTGCAGGAAGCATCTTCATCTGACAGCCAGAGGTGCGGGGATCCGTCAAGTTTTATACAACCAAACTCCAGCGCACAATATTAACAGCATTTCGTAACATACAAAACATACGATACGACGAAGAACAGGTAATTAAAAATGTCTTATTTTATTTTAAACAAACGAAATACTCTGTCAGCAGCTTGGACAACAGATCGTTGAATGATAGGACGATCAATAAATAATTAATTTTAAAGGAGATGGAAGAAATGGGTCTTGAAATAATTTGGATACTACCTCTGAAACTGAAAAAAATCACGAAAAACCTCAGTCAGAATAGCCATTCTCCATGCTGAGACTTCACCCCGGTACCTTCCGAATACAAATCACGATGTAGGTCTATACAAATTTACATTTCCCGCAGTAGCGATTTTAAAAACCGATCAACAACTGACACTTGTCCATTATATGGGTAGATTATAAAGTTGGGCAACCTTTTAACAAAGCTGATTAGATATATATTATTTCCACTAATTAACTAACGAACTAATTCGGTGGAACAGAGACTTTTTGGGGAAAAAATACCTACAGTTGCTCAGCTGAACAAGAAGATCCTTGTATTCTACGGAAGTAATCGTTAAATTAACAAGCAAATGAATAACTAAATTAATAATGAGTAAATACGTAAATAAATAAGTGCGCGGAATCATGGACGTATCTCTTCAGCATATAATTTATTTATTTATTTATTTATTTACTAACTCTTACCTACCTATCTTCTGAACAAAGCAAACGAGCGAACTGCAGTCTAATACATTTACTTTCTAGTTTCGCCGAAATACTTTAACGTGCGTTTTATACATTCTTTTCTATGTTCTCTACTGATCCAGTTGCTCATTTGAAACCGACTGTTGGCAGAACAGCACAAATTCTGAGGGCCTTGACTCTGTATCACGAGCTGATCAATAAATGGAATATATAGCCTGCTATGTGTTGGCTAGTTGGTGATAATTTTTAAAATTACTATTTTCAGTTGTAACCTCAAATATATCGGTTGAAGGTTTCGAATGTCGTGTAATAAACAAGGTAGCGTTACTACAATACAAATGGCTGTTGGTTGGCGAGCACTTCTGATCCACAGACTTTTCAACAACAACAACAACAAATACTTTTTAAGTAATAGTTTAAATTATCCCGGCATTATTGACGGGTAATTTTCAAGTTACCTTATGATTTTCTACGGCGAGTTTAAAGTGAACAACGTCTAACTGTATATAGAACCGAGCGAGTGAGACAGATAGATAGATAGACGAAGCCTGCTGCACGCTTTGCGTCGGCACACGTTCGGCCATTCAGTCGCCGTCCAGACCTAAAAGCGGTGAGACCGTCGCTGGCCCTGCCTTCATATCACCAGGACAAAACGCCACAGAAATGGCTTCAAACACTGCATCAACACCTGATGTTACCTCGTGGTGGTTTCGCCGGGTACTGGGTCCTGACCTAATTAAATGCTCCTCAATTCCTGCGGAACACAACGAAACAAAGAGAGAGCTCGGTGTCAGAGCTGTAGAATCAGCGATGTTATCAACAGTAACAAAGGCTGCTTGCGAAGTTATTGGACTGTTCTTTACACCCGTCAGCTTATGTGTGGATGAAGGAAATACCGAAGAATTTACATCGAAGCTCGTGAATTTATACGACCGCGTTAATTATTGTGGCGATGTGTGTAGTGGCAGTGAATGTTACGATAATAAGACAGATGAAGTTCCAATAACAAAATCAACAGCTGATGAGCAAAAGAACGAAGATAACTGTAATGAGAGACTGCAGTCTTCGAAACACAGAGCGAAAACGAGAAGATTAGAAGTGGTACATATCGTTTTACCAGGTGGTGGTAACACGAGTGCTCTTGGTACAAATTTGGTGTTCGAACCTGGTTCCGACAGCACATGTATGTTGGATGAAGCTGCTTTCAGAAAAGTCGTCAAAGATTTACCGTGGTTCGCCATCCCGCACAGAGATGTTCACAGAACGGTATGTACCTTATTGTAACTGATCTTTCATCTCCATTAGCGCGCAGGGACTCTCTTCAAAAGGTTACAGTACTCAGCTAGAAACAATTCCATGTTTGCGAAATCCTTAACTTCACACCGGTTAAGAAATCGACAACGACCTTTAACACTTCCAAAGCCCAATGGCAGTTATTTGTATCACCTGTTTTAACAACAATTAATTTTTCATTTGACCATCGAGTGTATATTTGTAGATTTCATATGATTTACAGCATAAAGCGTTAACCAATTGATATTTGTAATAGAGACATTTTTTCTTTGGGGAAAAGACTGAATACTTTAACGATATATAGAAGGGAGGAGGCTTTTGGACGAAAATGACCTGACTCCTTGTTTTTTTTAAAAAAAGAAATCGATAAAATTCGATTTGAGATTAATGTGTATACGTAGTAGGAGTCTGGCTACAGTGGATCGACAAGAATTAAAGTTAAATTCGACCTACAAGTTCCAGTATGGATACCCGAAGTCAAACTTATTCCAAATCCGTTTTGTCCTTTCGAACATGAAACAAAAGTTTAGACAGACGGGCACAAAAAAGAAACCCACGTGATAGCATTCGTTTTCAGCGCTACCTTCAACCTGACAGAAGGAATCTTCGTGGTCTCCTAGCAGACAGAGCCCAAAGTAAATTCTATCCTCTGGAACACAGAAATGTAGGAATTTCTGCTCCAATCCCAACTGAATCAAATATATGAAGCAATCAAGTGCTCTTCAATGAACAGTACTACATCCCATCGCCGCCGGCTAACGAACTGAGTGACGAAGATAATGAATGGATTCACCAGCTATTTATATTTTCACCAAATTGAATTAACCTGTTTCATTTTCTTTCCCCTCGATCCGAGCTCAAAAACAGACTGGAAACCTCATCAAATGAAATTCTTTCACGAATCGCTCTTGGCAAACAAATTTATATTTATTATATTTACTAATTCGTTCCTTGAACAACGATACGCTATTCAAAGTCAGGAATACTTTTCTGTGTGTAAGCTTGCCCTGCGATGTAGACAAAGTTATAGAGGCAAACATGGGGCGTGGAGGTATTACATTCAAGCATTATGAGACTCATCACAATGACGGAGCGAGAAGACAGCTTAACGCTACGCTGGATTTATCCCCTACTGTGAAATTATCTGTATATGCGGACAAAACTTATATGAAGTAGCAGCTAGACACAAGCTGATTTTGTTTCAGCTGACGACCTTATAACCTCCCGTTGACATTAACAAAGAAGTCAGACTGGGTAAAAATAGTTTACATTTCAGAAAAATAAAATGTGAAACTTGCAAAAAGCAAACAGTTCTGCATCTGAACAGGATTATGAAAATAAAAACGTAAGTGCCAAGTTGCCCCTGTACCTCAGCGCCATGCCAAGCAGGCGCATGGAAGGAGTAGAGTCACATTTTAAGAATTCTTAATCTCGAAAACAGACAAACGCGAGTGACCAGCTTGAAGACCTGGAGTGGGCCCCAGATCCGATATTCACGTCGTGACGAGGACAAAAGTCCCGGCCACTGCCGGAAATCGAACACCGGAAAGCCTTTCAAATACGTATCATACAAAAATCAGTGTAAAATCTAGGGGTTTGCATATCGAATTGGATACTTAATTTACTTATTTATTCACCCACATAAAGTTGTTTAGTCAAATGCACTTCTGGCGGTGATTTATGATTAGGCCTCTATCGGTTATTTTAATAGGTTTTTAAGTGTATAAAGTGATTAGATAATAGTTGCCATGAAGAGTGATTAGATAAGAGAAGTTGGCGGCAAAGCTAGAGACTTTGTCGGGAAATTGTCAAAGTCTTGATAACGTTTGCTGACAGTCAACTTGATATAACGTAGTCGCGGATGATAATAAAACGGATAGGCTTTTAGCCGGCTACGTGTTTCTTTGCATCCCACAGTATGTACACAGGGCCCAAATGAGGGTACGCAGCTTCGGTATAAAGGGGTATCTACATTGTAAGGACTAGGTCATTGTCGTGTACAATGACGGAAATTAGCTTGTCCCGGGCGATGAGGTCTGATTATGAACTTGGCCGAGAAACGTTAAGTCAGGGTCCGTTTAAGTTCTAGGGGTCTGTACAAACACCTTATTCCAACACAAGACTCGAGTTGAATAACAAACAGCCCTAATTACTGCGCTTCAAATAGAGGATAGGCGTGCTGTAAGGAATAATTTGTCATTTCGCGGGTTTCTCAGAAAATAACGAAAACTCGTAAGTTAAGGTTAATTGATCCTGGTCGAGAGGGGTGGGGGGTATCCAATTCTCATACAGGCAGACACGCGAATGGAAATACTCGATAACAAGCAGCAGACATGACGAACATGAGGGGAGACAAACTGAGGGAAATTCCATCGGACTTTTCCATGATCCTTTGTATCTCCATTAATTTTCGCTTTGCATGAAAATATATGTGGAAACTACGTGATAGCATGCAATGAAAAGCTCCTGCTCCGTTCTGTATCTTACACAAACTTCCCAAATATTTGTTTTAGTACCGATCACAGGCCTGTTATTAGGCTACTCTCGTATTTGATAATAAAACATACATAGTCCTGTGCTGTTAGCATGTCCTTGTGTGTACCTCTCCCCCACTCCACTAACCTCTCGGTTTTTATGAAACATAACATGAATATCTTGCCATTTTGCGTTGTCTAATTCTCACACTTGTCTTCATTGCTTACCCGTCCATAATACCAACATGGCGAAATATATATTTCCCTTTGATAATGATATACCTGGAAGCACACTGAAATCGCATTGACAAGTGCGAAGTGTATTACCTAATTACTCTCGTAGCCTGGTCTGAAAGTTTTTGATTCACACAGCGGAATACCATTACGTTAAAGGATCACACACTCCCTGCGAGAAATATGTCAAAATATTCTTTTATACCAGTGTTTCCAGTTGATATCACAACTCTCCCGCTGTATAAATATTTGATCACGCTGTCTGTGTATCTGGCGTCCGTTTTTCTTCTTCTTCTTCTTCTTCTTCTTCTGTCAATTTATGTTTCCTGAATCCCATTTCTGTGTACAGCGCAACGTGCTACCAGACATATATGCGATACGGAACAAGGCTGTTCAACTACTATTTCAAGTGGGTCACGGTTAACCCTGTTAAACCTTTTTTTAAATTGATTATATTCGATTTTAGCTTAATGAAAAGTAGGAGTTATATTCGACCGATAAGAATCAAAATTAAACACAACGTTTAGCGTAAATACATACTGCAAAATCTCATCGATATCCATCCAGTACTTTCGAAGATGAGACATTCGGCCAGACAGATGACTTCCTGAACCAGCGTTCACTTTGTTGCACTTTTGTGCGAAGAACCCACGAAGAGTATTTATGTTAACAAGAAGCTGGAGTTCTTTCACAGCCGTGAACCTCTCTTTAAAGTTCTCATGTCTATTTGTTTCCTTTTTTGACGCGAGGGCTGTGGACGTACGATCTATAATAATAATCCATTACAGTATCCTGAAAATACCTTATCGATGGTCGAGCTCAACTTTTTCCCATTTTAAGTGCAATGTTCCTTCTCAGATAAATTTTGTAACCAAGAATTACGTGAACAGAATAAAAATACTCGGGCAGACAATTCTGTGTCGGCTACGTGTTTCCATTTAAGTTTCCGCACGAAACACAACACATTCACAATTTTACTTTGATTAATGCCCTACAATTTCGAGAACCAAGGAAATTCACAGACAAAGACAGGTTTATGTATAACCGAAGTTACGTTTCAGATAGGTTTTGCCCACAATTTAGAGGTAAACGACTTCATGCTTCAGCTGATAATGAGCTATCTCTGCCACAGAGGATGTAATCATTTCTTTGAAATAAGATGACCCAGATGCCTCACAGTTACCTTGCCTGGTTGTGACAAGGGTTTCAAGTCTCTCAACCAAGAACCCGATGGCCTTCACAAGTCAACCAGCAGCCTGGCACAACAACAAACAATCAGGATTTTTTTCTTTTTGTTTTAAAACGCAGTTGATTCCTCCGCCCTTTGACAGCTAGTCACGAAATTTTCTGTTTAGGAACCCAAAGGTCCACCACCACATTAAAAAAGGCCAGAAAAATGTTCTGAAATCCCCAGTTCCCACACCCGGGGGCAGATTAGGCTCCAAAAACTGCCCTGGAAAAATATTCCCAAGTGGCCCCTTGCTACCTTGAAATCCACTACCCGGAATAATATTCTTTTATGAGCTGCTGTTACTTTAGAGGGTAATTTTCCCCACCAACCTCAGTAATAACAGCAGTGCTCCTATCCTGCCTCCATTATTTTCACCTCACAGTTTCTCTAGCGAATGTTCGCACAACACAACATTCCAACCTAGGTATGACCCACTGATCGTTCTAGAACCAGTCACAGCTCCTCAAAGGCCACTCCACCGCTGTCTTCGTGCATGCTACGTAACATGCCCATCGATTTCTTATTTATTTAATCACTAACAATATCAGGTGAAGTTAACAAGTTCTCAAGCACTTTCCACATTTTGCACAAGACATATCACAGATAATTATTTTTTGACGTTATATGCCGTCCACCTACTTCAGTAGGCCTACCAAATTAATCTCATAACTGCTTAGGCACATATTTAATTAAATAACCATCTAATTTTCCCCAACTATGTAAGTACCTGTGCAATTAACGATCTGGTTTACTAAATACATAACTACGTATATTCATAATTAACTACCAATCTAATTAACTAAATTTCTTACTAGTAACCTACGTAACTACCTACGACATTACAGAACGGGCAGCTGAGAGAGACACAGTCCGTATAAATCAAGACATAAACACTCGGTTAGAACGGATTTTGTACATTCACTTTTTCTGCATACGAGAGGAGAGGAGGATGTCGGCATAACAGCCATCTGTTTTTTCAGTCCTCTCAACAGAACAGTAAATTGCCCGCTCCTAATCCCGAGCTGTAAATGAAC